TAAACGTGGGGGTGTCAGTCAGCGCTACTAGTAGCCATTGCAGCGAATGTGGCACACTCTTTATGAGCCTGTATGGCGTCACGTAGCACGTGAACTTATTACGAGCTAGCATCAACAATATTCCGTCGTATACAACAAAAAGCACCAAGTCTGCCAGTACACTCTAAGCGAAATTACCCGAAAAAGGTGGAAACGGAGCCCTATAGGCGCCCGCGATGAACTGATAGACCGTTTAGGAGCAACCACAGAGGGAAGCGTGCCGCACAAAGTCTCCAAACACGCTCCAAAGGGATGAACAACCCGGGGATTCCAGGCAGCGCGAAAAGTGTTGCCAAGATGACCAGCCCTCCTACTCCTCTTCTGCTGGCTCAGTCTTTCCCCGTATTTTGCCGGCGACGGTTTGCGTAGCATCGTGCTCAGAGCGCTCGACCACGGCCGCCTGGATTTGACGATCTAAGAATTAGGACGTGACACTTGTGTGTACATTTGGATGAGCGTGGGCTGCTGCTTTTGCATTTCGCTGCACTCATGTAGTCTGCAGCAAGTCTCGACAAGTCACTACGACGCGTTGTATATATCTGGCTTCAAGATAGTGACGACCAACACACGACAGCAACTGTTGGGACGGCCAATATGGCGGCCGAGAAGACAACAGGCCTATCGGATATATACTTCAGTCTGACTCAGGGCAGAAAACAGCGCTCCATGGATTCTAAGGCAAGTAGGTTATTATTCTTCATTCTACTCTACTTGTCGCGTGTGCAATACCGATTTCACTTGCCGCCAACGAGCTCGGTCGTGTTGTATATCGCGCGCACGAAATGCATCGCGAAGGTCAGCTTCCGCGTCTGCAGTTCGCCTGTGCTTTGCGATTGCATGGAAATTGCCACCATTGCCGTCGGCCTCCCGTACGCTCGCACATCGAGCGCTCGCCTGGATTCGCGGCCGCGATGAGCTCCGGGTTGACGATATTGGGCTGAGACCTCGTCGCTGTGTTGGCAGTCGTCGAAAGCACGTTGCGAGATCACGTAAAGAGCTTGGTTGTAGTATGTCGTGCGCTGTATCTGCACCAGCACGAGCTGGCGCGGCTTTCGCTAGCATCGGAACTCACAGAAAATTGGTCGCCATTACAGTTGGCTTTCCCGTCAGTCGGTCGCAAGCAGCTCGCCGCCGTCCGTTGGCCGTGGGGGCGGACGCGCGTTTGTGGAAAAGGGCCGCATTACCGTCGATTTCTTCGGCGCTAACTACAAACCAGCTCGGCGCTGTTCGTGGCGGCGGCCAAGCGTACGCTCGCTCTCCTGTTCGATGTTCGCTGGCGGCAGACACTCCGCGTGCAGCGACATCTTTGGTCTCGCGCTCGCTTGCCCAAGCTAAACGATGTCACTCGCTTAGGACTTGCCGATTGTTGGCGGCACGGTGGTTCGCGTAGCTCCGGCTGCGGCCACCGCTCCTAAGCTGCTGCGCTACGGGGATCGAATTGAGTCTTTGACGATGTGTGACATCACGGTGAAATTAATGGCATGTCATATCTCACCCGTGTTTTCATTTCACCTTGCACGTATTTTTCACATGCATGTGTATTCATCCTCTGTCATGTGTGGTCGAACCCCAGGTGGTCGAAATTTCCGGAGCCCTCCACTACGGCGTCTCTCATAATCATATGGTGGTTTTGGGACGTTAAACCACACATATCAATCAATCAATGAGTCACGTATGACTCACTATTTTACATACTTATTGTGCAGCCGTGGGCACACACCGTGCTGAAGACTGTGTGCGCTTGCGTCTGCGATGCCTGTCATCCATCTCTTTCGGCAGAGCATCTTCGGAAGGACTGTGCGAAATGTGAAGGTAAAGTTATTTGTGTGTCGTATTTTAACGCTTGTTTTTAAATTAACGTGCATGTTCTTGTCATATGCGTGAATCTTCATCTTCTGTCAGGTGTGCCTAACTATTTTTATTATATTATTGTACGTGCAGCCGTGGGAACGCAACAGGCAGAAGGCTGCGTGCGCTGGCGTCTTCAATGCCTGTCTTCTATCACTTCCGTCGGAGGAGCTCCACAAGGAGTGAACAAGTTGTGACAATGAGACAGGACTTGTACACTTCACCATGAATTCACTTAAAATGATGGAGAAACTTCATGCGTATGAGGAGAAATAAAACATTTCGAAGTCCCACTTTTCTCTTTCGTTGTTGCCACGACTGCGAAAGCAGTTACACATAGGTGGCTAACTACATTTCGCGTGTTCTTTTGTGCGCAATTTGTTGCTCACTGCGCAGAAAAACTGGCGAAGAAAGTGTTCGGCCTGGCGGAAAATAAACAAAAAACAATGTTTGAACATGGGACAAAAAGTTCATCCGATTGGAGTATTCGAGTGGATCAATCGTTTTCCTGGCAAGGTGCAACTGTGAGGACTAACAGTTGCCCGGTAAGGTGTAAATGTGGGGAATTAGTCCTTTGAGGTGAATTGTGGGACTAGCGGTTACTCACTAGAGTGTAAATGTGAGGACTAATAGTTAGTCTCCTGAGGACGTCTGTGGGGACTAACTGTTAGACCCGGTGCCTTTAGTCTTTAAAGGGATTAATGGTTGTGACAGCCCCATTAGTCCCCAAAAGGACAAATCACACACCCTTTTAACACCCTTTTGATTAGAGTGTACAAGACCCTCGTTAATGAATTACAGAAGGAAGTATATACTTAAGGGCTTTATATATATGACATGTCGATAACAACCTCAGTAGGAAGTTTGCACCCGTCCATGTCTGTTTTGTCTGTTTTCCAAGGTATTTAGCGCACGTAATGGATTGATGGATATGTGGTGTTCAACGCCACAAAACCACCATATGGGTTTGAGAAACGCCGTAGTGTAGGACTCAGAAATTTTCGACCACTTGGGGTTTTTGAACGTGTACCCAAATCTGAGCACCTGGGTCTACGGCATGTTCGCCTCCCTCACAAATGCATCCGCCGCAGCCTGCAATCTATCCCGCGATCTGTGGGTCAGCGGCTGAGTAGCTTAGCCACTTGGCTACGGTGGTGGTGCAATTTTGTGGAAGTAGTACTTAATCATAGAGTACCAAATAGGTTGAACCCACATTTCGGTGGCTAAAGCCATGGATGGCTTTTTATCAACAACATACGTTTTATCTTGAGCTTTAGGAGCTCCACTTTAAAAAATATGAAAAATGTTTTTCATGAAACCATACGCCTGTGAAATATCTTCCGGCCGCTCTATTTTAGACACAGCAGCAGAGTCAGCAGCTTCGTTAAATAGATTTTACGCAAGAGAAAGTGAGGGCGTCGATGTTATGTTGGAAGAAGAGGTCTCATGCTCACCTGAGATAGCGGGCCATGTTCACGAAATTTATTCCCTCAAGGGCCATGACAAGGTGAGAGCGGTGAGGTCTAGTTTAAAGTGAAGGCCAGCAAGCATTACCATTTCAAGGAACCAGTTTCCCCCATCTCATGCGCATGACATTTCAGAAAGAAATTTTAAAACAGGATTCCAAAAACATATCGATTGGAAACTAAAGAATGACTCATACCTGAACATGAAGTATTCTGTCAAGTGGGGCATGCCTAGTTGCACAGGGGGTAACTTCGCACGTGGGTAACGCGGGCAATGAAGAAGCGGATCGCCTTGCTTCGTCATGCAACCATAATGGCTCTGACTGTCCGGGAATTCTATGCAGGATGGACAACGCTCATCTGCTTACACGCCTACACCTCCTAAAGCAGCACGCAGACCAGCGTGTGGCGAATGGATCGCTCCCTCTCCGTGTTCGTGGCCGTGGCTTGCCTCGTAGTTTCCGAGTGCTGTTGTACAAACTAAAAGCGGGCTTTGTGCTGGTGCGTGAACGATTACACCGTCAACGGCGTGTGCACTGCCCGTTGTGCGCAGCTTGTGGCTCCAGCGAAAGGCTTGAGCATCTCGTAGTGCACTGTCCCACATTTGCAACGCAGCGGTCTTTGCTGATTAAGGATTATAAATTCCTAGGACTTAAGTGCGTGACCCTATACGACTACCTCTTTCCGAGTGGTTGGGCTTCCCGACGCGACCAGGCCCATCGAGCTCTCTTTACATTCATGACTCAAACGTAGCTGGCCACGCGTTTATAAACGTTTTTTTGTTATTTTTGTTTATGTTATTTTACTCATACTGGTCGAAGTCTTCGTCCATTTTTTTATTCGTTCGTCATCATCTTTCTTCTTTCTTCCCTCTAATATTTGTTTCCTGTGTATTTTCCCCCCTGCCGAAAGAGTAAAAAGGCGTTTTGCCCCTCCAGGTGGCAGTTGCCAGCTTGCCTCTCGCCCTTTTTCTTCTGTATCATTGTGTATCAGTGTATGCAAATCAGATAAATAAATAAATGAATCTTCAATATGCAATGCTTGTTGTAGAGTCAGCTCTCATAGAATGGGGACCACATGGTTGTTCAATAAAAAAAAAGAACGCCTGAGAGCAATAACGCCTACGTAGCAAACCCAAAGAAAAAGGTACTAATCACGATAGGCGAGAAAAAAATGCGAGGGCCATTTAGCAGAGTCACAAATCTGAGACCACAAAGTCAACAAGTTTAGTTACGACCAGTCATATGTGGGCCTGGCAGCAACATGTAGAAAGGTCCATGTGCCACGTGTTGAGAGACCCCTGGTTTAGAGGAACAGAAATGTGGCATATTTATCGCGCATTAAGTGTGTAGATTGCTGTTACTGTCTGGCGGCCCTGATACGCGCGCCTTCATATATTGAGCAAGAGCGGAAGCCGCTTCATAAAGAGCGTTCATTATTCTCGGCGCGTGCTTGGTGCGGATGCATGTCGTTCTGAGGGTCCACCAGTGGTTATAGACACGGATGTAGTTCGCTGTTACAATTTGAACACACGAAACAGTCTGCACACTGTCAGTGCACGCAGTGAAGAGGATATTACACATTCCTTCGGCACATGACTTATCTGCAATAAGTAACAACGGAAGCACAACGGCTTATAAGAGTTCACAGGAGAGAGAGCTCCTGGCACGCGCTACACAACCACTGCGACACTGTTTCCGTCAAAAGTTGGTGTCAGACGCGTACAGCTAACGCTTAACTCGAAGATTCCAGGGCAGACAAAGTGTGAGTGTTCCGTATACTTTTATCTTCTAAGAAATGCGCTTGTTTTCGCTAAGAGAAAGCAGTATTCAAAAGGCAATGACAACATAAAGGTTCTAGAAAAGGGCGTTGTTTCGAGCAGCCATTAAATACAAGCATGAGAACTTCCAAAGCTTTGAAAATATTGCGTATATTACGCATATGAGGTTCTAAACGCTTAAGTTTTTTTTTCTGTGATTTTATAACCTAACTGTGACAAACACACAGAAAAATTAGCGCAGACGATACGTGAAGACAAAACAGACAGCATTTGTACAAAAACAGCATTTCCTTTTTCTTGCCGATTTATGAAGTCCCTCGCAATGAATACTTCAAGCAAGAACATTTAAATTTATTTATTTTTATCAAACTGCGACGGCTATTCCCGAAACAAAAATCTTGTCAAAGAAAATATTTTGATACACTAGTCGAAACCTTCACGTTCCTCTTCAGTTTTTTAGTTTTTTTTATTTAATAGATATGTTGGGTTTAACGTCCCCAAATCACCATACGATTATAAAAGACACCGTAGTGGAGGGCTCCGGAAATTCGGACCACCTGGCATTCGTTAACGTGCACTCAAATCGGGCCACACGGGCCCCAAACATTTTCGTCTCCATTGGAAATGCAGCCGCCGCCGCCGGGATTCGATCCTGTGACCTGCGGGACAGCAGAATAGTACCGTAGCCACTAGAACACCACAACGGGGCTATTCGGTTTTTTTTAAGACGATATTCTTTCTTGGGGATGTTCGACGCAAACATTTTTTTCTTTCTGTCTGTACCCGGTACCCTAAACGGCAATACGGTACCCTAAACGGCATTAAATTGACCAAACGATACTCCAAACGGCCGACCCCATACGCAGCGCCAGCCAATATTGCTCAAGAGTCAGCGTTCATACTTGTGCGATTGTCAATTAAAAAGCAATAGTTGCGCATATATGAGGCGCCATAACGACTCGTCAATATTCTGTACGTGTGTCTTTTACTAGAAAATGTGCACATAAGTAATTCTAATGCTCTGACCATGCAACGCTCGCACGAAAAGGCAATTGTTTCCAACGCTTTGCTAAGACGACCCGGTGGTGGCAACAACCCATCGCCTTGCGTTCTACACCTTATCACCCCCGAGACGGGTGCGCAGGGCGCACGAACTTCGTTTTCCAAGATAGCGCTCATGTCTTATGTGTGAGGAGACTTGATGCGCTCTTACGCCTCCGCTGCACGCTCAAGGCACTCTAGCGCAGCGCCTCCAAAATACCATTCACCAATTTTCTTGCACAGAACATGAAATTAACGTTTTGTTCACTCTCTCCAGACGCAAAACTATCGGCTTTCGACCTTTTCCGTGTAACATGGAGGTAGGGGGCCAAGTTTTTTTTTTGTGGTGTCTTATGCTGTTATGTAACATTACTTGTTAGATTCAGTATGTGATGCGCATGATATTGTTTTTAAGATGAATTTTCATTCATCAAAGTGAAGCAGGTGTTCATACGCTACTTTGAGAGTAGCCTATTTCTGAATTCTCGGAGAAGCGCTTAAATGTCAATGGTTATAATAAATAATTTTTATTTTTGATAAAATATTTAGGGTAGATATTTTGTTTAATTTCGGAGAACAAATTCACAAGCAACAGTTATAGCCAGTCATGCTTTATAATATTATGTGATTGCATTATATTTTAATAAATAATAATTTCTATTGCTGTAGTGAAAGATACTGCTGAATATAGGTTCAATAAAATTTCCGCAAATACAGCCCCCATTCGTACAGTTTACACAAACTCACGGCAAAGTTTTCAGTACTAATATAAAATTTTCCCGTTAAAAAATGTAAATAACAAAGATCACAGCAAATGAAACGAGGTACACATTTACCAAATGAATACGCTTCTATTCTGTTACTACACTTGTAACTATATATTAAAATTTTTACATGAGTAACAACATAAATAAGAGGTGTTCATAAATACCTTGCCTTTCTTTTTTGCAGTTGTAAACATGGCGGTTCGACAGAGCTTCACTGCTCTCTTCTTGGTGATGTTGTACGGTGCGACTTTTGCGTACAACAGAGGTAAGCACGCCAATTGGCTGACGAAGAGTACACGGAGATTAGTTGTCTTATTATTGACTCATGCGTAGGTATATGTAACATTTCATAAAATTTTTACCACCTTCGCGGCCATATAACACACTTTCAAATCTAAAGTGTCTATCTCCAATCCCCACAATGCTTCTAGTACGCACGGGCAAGCAGTAACAGAAATGAAATTGCTAAATGATGCATGACAATCAGATACTGCAAACAAGAAGGTGTTTCAGCAAGGCGTTCGCGGCTCTGTCTCCCATGTTGCTGAAGCGCATCGTGGTACAGTGGGGTGTGAGCACTGGCGTATAGGTTATCTTATTATACAATAGCTCGTACCATGCCGTTTCTTCTTAATTATTGACGCTTTGAAGAATTGCACATCAGGTACCAGTGATTAGTACACAATAAACGAAAATGACCTGAAATAACCTCAAAAACTGGGTAAACCATTTGTCCTCTAGCGCACTACCTCTCCTGGGTTTTTTTTTACCACCTACTATCGAGGTAAAACATTTACTCTCGTGCTAACTTAGTTTTTGAACGTAGGGAGAGTAGTAATTATTTACCCCAGTGAGGTTTTGAGCGAGTATAGAGAGAGTAGATTTTTACTGCCTTCACAAGGTTTTTTAGGTGATTTCTGGGAGTTATTTCTGGTGGTAAAAAATACAAATTGACGGGTGCATTCGCCCACAGTCGACTAATTTATTTAATAGGAGAATTGAATGAATTTATTAAACGGCAGAATTTGTGACACATAGATTTACATACAGACAAACACGCTCACACAACAAATGCAGAATAGTACACCACTCGAACAGACTGCACGCGTTGCTCAACTACACTTTGACAATCCGGTATATATAGGCACGACTTTTTGACCGGCTCTGTAGGACCGGTAGGTGAGCTTTTTTTTTGCATTGATCAACAACAACGGTTGAAGCTGCAAGCGTAAACTTAAGGTGGGCTGCAGGGAACTAAATATCACACCGAACTTTTATTACAAATGTACCCAATCTCACCTTTTTGAGTATCCAATAATTACTTGGCACACCGGGCTCATGGCCCCACGCGTGTTAGCACTGCTGATCCACAAGTCTATAAAATAAACATAAGTACGCACAAACTACGGTGGCTCAGTGATTTTCATTGAGCGACGGTGCACAAACACAGTAGCAGCGCGTATTCGTCACAACGAGCGTAGAGGAGCGGTGCACGCCTGCACACAAGCTACTTATCGACGGCGAACTAGGCCTTTTCGAGGAGCACGGCTATCCGATGAAACACAGCTGGCGATCACAGAACACATATCCTGTGCGAATTTCGTTGTCATTTCAGACACAAGTAAACACGTGACCGCTATCTTACGGGGACGGGGCGGTGTATGCATACTTCCAACGAAAGACCACCGTCCGGGTTTTCTTCGTGCTCACCGGCAGCCGCTCGCTGGTTCTGTCTGCCTCGTATCGGCTTCGCGCTACATGTTTAAGAACAGTTGGTGCATGAGGTGGGCAATTCGGGCAGCACATTGCTCACGCAGACACCGCCTACTGAGGAACAAAATATCTGCGGTGCTTCTTTCACCTGCCCCGGCAACACACTTCCACTGGTCACTGGCGGCCGCGGCTCGGTGCCGACGACAAAGTGAAGCATTTCGCTTATTGCTTCTCCAGTAGGCAAGCACGGACGATGACACCACTGGCAGATATTCGCGATTCGGCTCGGAAGCGAGATATCCGCGACGTGCAGGTTCGGAGGCGCTTGGAAGCGCACTGTCGTTTGACGATGTAGGAAACACGTGAGATCCATCAGCCCAACCAGACACACAGATACCGAGCTTCTTGCACCGTCTGTCTCCAAGGCACCACCACCGAGCAAAAGCCAACAATTTGCGAAAATATGCAGGACAACTTTCCACAGCAGGTTTTGTTTTCTTTTTTTTTTTCTTCTCTTGAGATCGCCCTGTCTTTTTTTTTTTCTTTTTCGTTCACAGAATGCTGTTCACGCTTGTTGTGCTTATGCTGCCCCCAGTTCCAGTGAAAGTGCGCTGACTCGAGGTCAGTCCTGAGGCACGTCGATGCCAAAAAAAAAAAAGATCTGTGGTCCTCGCGTACCTTTAGGATTCACTGAGAGCGTCACGAGGGGGGTATAGGGCAAAAGCCACCGAAGCAGCAGCACCTTGCAGTCACGTGATAATAAACTCTGAAACGCAAGTTAAAAATCACGTGATAGAAAACTCCCTACGTGGTAAAACTGGATTTTGACATCCTTTTACTACTTGCCTGAGAGGTGGTGGTAAAACTATGTCATGTACCATCTTTTACTCCTACGCGAGGTAGTAATATTAAACCCGAGAGAGTTTTCAGAGGTCATGAGCCGCAAAAACCCTAAACTCGGATAGTTTATGCTTACAGTGTATGTGCTTGTTGATTTTGCCTTTGCGCGGGATTCACGATACGCCGTGTTCAGCTATTCATTGAATCTTCGCCTATTACAACAGGTAAATCATGATGGGCGTTAGTCGTCACGATGAGAGATGCGGCACTACAGACGTCAACGTGGGTGCATGCACGTCAAACAGTGCTACAGCTACCGAACACCAATAACTGTGGTAAAAACTGTGATAATCACTTCAAAACAAGCGTTTTAGTTTGTGAAAACACATTTCACGTTCGTGCTATACCAATTCTTGTGATAGAGGACTCATCTATGTTTCCTTCTGTTGTTATGTTTTTTGCGTTACGCAAGATCGTTACGCTTCAAAGTCAAAACATCCATTCGTTCAACAGACTGCTCGTTTAGTTAAGATATACCCAAAGATGTTGCTAGACGAGGAATATATAAAATATTTGATTAATACGTGCGGTTTAACGTGCCATAAGTACACAAAAATAAGTGTGCCATGTTTTGCCATAAGCTTTACGACATAAGCGGAACCTTTTCAGCTCTGAAAAGTTTTCCAAAGTGTTAAAAAAATAGTTTGTGTACATGTCGCTATTCTTTGTTTTAACAGGCTGTGATTTCAGTCAGTTGGACTTGGATGGCGCTGTAGACAAAGTTATTGAACTGCTGCCCCGGTACCGCATGCCAGATGAGAAAGGATTTCGGACTGCCTTCAAGGGATTTGAAACCGGGACTCTCAATATAACTGGCCTTGAAACAATCCAACGATACGGCCCGATCCAGTCTTATTGTGTGAACGGCACCCGTCTAATCAGCGTGGATCTGATCGAGCAAGGGGACGCCATGTTGACACTTCCTTGGAGGGCATGCTCAGGGCAAGAAGGAACGATAAACTTACGCACAAAGCTTTCACGCTTCACGCTCATACTTGGAGTCGAAAGTGTGCGTCCGAGCCAAGAAGTCCGTCTCACGTACGAAGGGCCCATTATTCCCGTGTTCATCTTAGACCCAAAGATTTACATCGAGGGGGCCGGTACCGGCGTCAGAGTAGCTACCATGAGCATTAGCAAGCTTTTTCCTGCTCTCTCTGAGAGTGTGTGGTTTGACTACTTCCTCATTTATTTTCGTGGTGTTGTACGTCATGCCCTGCGGGATGCTTTCCCGTAACCATTATCTTCAATTAAAAGGTTTTTAAACCTACTGGTATGAACTTTCCTTCACAACCACCATTTTTTCGGCTTTTAAGCAATAAAATTTCAGAGGATTTTTGCGGCAGTACTTTCTTCCTTCAACGTTTTAGTGTACAAAAGCGCGTACTAAAACACTTACTTTCGGAAAAAAACACGTCCAATAACCACAATCATTATATTATAATGTAAGCACACTATTCGTTACAGCTACAGCTAACATATAAGAATGTAAAAGAAAAGGCGGGCGGTGACATTCACAGTTACTATCAAAGAAAGGTGAACAAAGCAAAGGGCTTTGACAAATAACTTGCCTGTGCAGGTATCGAACGTGCGACTTTCGATTACCTCTCCCGATGCCTTGCCAACTGAGCTTCCATGAAGGTCACTCCCGCGTCCACTTTACGAAGAATTTATGTGCATTTAAACCTAGGTGCTTTAGTCAGCGCTGCTAGTAGCCATGACAGTGACACTATCTTTTCTAGCTGCCGGCGTAACAAAGCATGTTCTGATCTTTTTATTAGCTGTCAGCTAAATAAAGGTCTTTTGTTGTACCATATACCGCCTGCTCTGCTGGAATAAAATCGTCACTACGCATGAAAAAAAATGAAGTGGAGTAATCAGGAAAGAGAAGCTCTTGAAATTTCTGAAGTGTTCGTCCGGAGGTTTGTACGAAGTTTGCTAATTCGAACTTTCGTATTTTGAATTGCGGAATAATAATGGAAAGCTTCACTCGGCGAGATAAACAGGGGAAATAAGGAGAAGGAGATAACACACAGAGTCAGAGTGAAAGAAGCGAATGAATAATAAAAATAAAGTTCCTCGGTGACGCGACATTCGAAAGCAAGTACCGGTGACCCGATTGAAGTTGTCGTAACTACTGAAAAAAAAATTGGCTATTCAGCCACGCCCCAGTTCGTGTCTTCACTTTGTCCCCCGTCCGTTTTCTGTCCTACCTCTCGTATTTTTTAACTGCAACCTCATTTGCGCAAACCTTATAAATGCGTTGAGGTATACGTTCCACGGGTGAGCTGATATACGATCGAAGGAAATAAAAAAATCACTGCCCAAACGCTTCGTACAAGTTGTTCCCCGGCGAAAGGTGACACGTGTGGTCCCTGTGTTGAACAGTGGGTTAACCCAACGCTGCACTTGAGCCTTCCACAATTAGTGCCATGGTTACATCTTCGTGCTTCTTAGTGAGGTTGGACACATTTTTTGTTAGGTTTACCACAGTGTTTATTCACATGCCGCACAATGTGAATCGTATGATCACGGTAATAGAGGAGTGTAATGAGGCGCTAAATGCAATTTCTAATGAGTTAATCACACTGGTTGTTCTGGAACAGCAGGTGGTCACAGATGTCGCTGCCGAATACTATATACCACTGGAGAGTCCCCCGCCGAAAAGTAGCGTTCGCACGGGCGAACGCGCTTCCAGGATCATCACGTTGGCGCCGCAATGCCACTTTCTCGGCGTAGGCACTGCGGTGAGATACGTATTGACAGATTAAATCAGGCGCATTTTTTTTACTTCTTCACGAGCCGCACAGTCTTTGTTCAGCGCGGCATTGTGGCAACATTCTGGGCTCACTCGGCAGCATGGTTTTCAGGATCCACACGCCACCGGCGCTTCCATTCTAGCTCGCAATTTAGCGCGGCTTGGAATGCTGCCGATCATCAGGACCCACGGCACTTGACCTCCCAGGCCTGTTTTTGTGCTCGGACACTACCATCGGCGCGGCAACTGTCAATTCTCTCATATTTGTAGTGTCGGTGCTTTTGTCGAGCTGTCCGTTAGTTACCCATGTGGAAGCTCTCAATAGACCCTTGCACTTTTGTAGAGTTGTCCATGACTTATTCATGTGGAAGCTCTCAGTAGACTCATGCGCTTTTGTGAAGTTGTCTGAGACTTACCAATGTGGAAGTTCTCAGTGGTCTCGTGCGCATTTGTAGAGTTGTTTGTGGCTTACCAATGTGAAAGCTCTCTGTAGACTGATGCACATTTGTGGAGTTCCCCGTGACTTACCTACGTGGAAGCTCTCAGTAGACTCGTGCTCAGCGTCACGGCTGTGACAGGATGAACGACGTCACTCACAACGGAGCCATGGGCGTGCGTGTTTGGTACGACGCTGAGAAGGATTTAGCTGATAGCACAACCAACGGAGACAACTCGTGACATGAATGTCAAACGCGCTTTCGTTTATGCTAACCATGCACAGCTTACTCTGTAAAAATAGGAGCGAATGAAAAAGACAGGCTGAAAAAACGACAGAAAAGGTGAAATTAACAGAAAGAGAGACAAGTAGATAAAAAGATGTAGAAAAAAGACAGGGCAAGAAACCGAAGGGCACTAAAATAAAGAAATCAAAGTAGAATCAGAGATAGAGATAAAGTGAGCGGAAGACATGTAAAAATGAAAGAGTGAATATTGGGTGTGGCTTCGCTAACAAATAAATTATGCTTTACTCAACTTCACAATCCATTTGCTTTACCTAACGTTGCAACTGTTCCCGATAGCAGAGCCAAGCCTTATCAAGGCGGTGCTCATCTCTTGAAAAGCTTTCTGCCAACGTTCCAGTTGCAATATGGCCTCCGTCCTGTACACTTGGAAGAAACTCACCACGGTGAGCTGATGCTTTAACTGCTTTATTCTACAGATGCATCTGATTGAGTTGTTTACACAAAGTCATGGTCACTGCTCATTGGGTGGTATCTTCGCAAATAGGTGGCAGAATAGCAGCCCAATGCAATTTTCTAAATAAGAGTATAAGTGTCACTTCTCCTAAATCAAGACGGAGGAACTCAAGTGACACGCTTTATTTAAAACTATGTGATTTGTTACAAACAATACGGCAAGCAACACCCCATGGTCAAAAGGAGCACTCTCGGTTAAAATTCGCGCACTTGCAGTTGGTCAAACATCTTACGGAGAGCACTTCTAAACGACAACACTGGATCAGCCTTCTTGATCTCGCCTTTTGTTTTCACACTGCTGAAAATGATAAGTTTTACTGGCGGCCAGTTTTGCAAGCTTTTGTATAGTTTTGTATTGTTAATAAAGTAAACTGCACGTGCTACTACATGAGAACACGGGCACAAAACTGAATATCTCGGCTATCTTAACGAAACAATATTTCAACAATAATTGATAGCAGTGATATTTTTTAAACAATTTTTGATATAGCGTAGTAGTTCGTCAAGACACTTTTGTATCTTAGCGCAAATTAATTCTACACGAAGATGAAGATAAATAGCTTCCTCGGCGCTTTCGTTATTGAAAGGTTCGACTGCCGAAAGAATATCGATACACAAGCATGCCTCATCGAATATTCACTACAACTCTTAACTCGCTGCGTGTCAAGAAGAAGCTGCAACGTACCTTTAGAGGGGGGGGGGGTAGGGGGCAGTTTTTTTTAATGCGCCCCCTAAAATTGGGTATAATACTCCAAACGTAACGAAAAAACTGCTTCGGCTAAAAATGTATCTCATGCTTATGAAACAATGAAAAAGTGCAGTCGCAGGAGTTGCTGGCATTCACCTTCCCAAACGTAGATGTAATAATAAGGTATGCAGTATTGAAATACTCCTAAAATTTTCTCCCGGTGGAGTTCTTAGGCCTCAATATGAATATTGTCACGTGATCACAGAACGACCACAACGTCTGTTCACAGGAGCAGCACTGGACGTCGAGCCGAACCGAACGTTAGAGCACGAGCACCCACCAACCGTCTTCTTCTTCTTTCACACCATGGCACATACTCGCATTGGCAGGGCTAAACCTCGTTCAATGCCTGTGGCACTACCCCCCCTTCGAAAAAAAAAAAGTACCACCCCGATGACCAATGCCGATTAAAAGTTAAAGTAGTCGCGTACACGCACAAAGACGCGTGAAGAAGCAGTGTCAGGTGCACATGGCTCGGGGGTAGTGTGGCTTCATCCGTGACACATGAACAATGTCGGCCTGTTGGGAACGTCGAGATCGCTGAGCTGTGTCTTCAAGCAGAATTTCGTAGTTGACATCTGTGAGGCGCCGTAGTACTCTATAGGGACCGAAGTAGCGGTGAAGTAACTTTTCCGAGCGGCCCCTTTGGCGAACGGGTATCCACAGCCAGACCAGATCACCGGGTTGGTAAATGACATGGCGATGACGGGAGTTGTACCTCTGCGAGTCGATTCGTTGTTGTTTTCGGATCCGCTTGAGTGCAAGCTGGCGGGCCGCGTCGGCGAGCCGGATAAAGTCGTTCGCATCAGTAGTAATATCGGTCGTGTCAGGCAACAGCATGGCATCAAGCATCGTAATTGCTTCTCGGCCGTGAAGCAACCGGAATGGAGTGAAACCCGTAGTCTCTTGAACCGCAGTGTTGTAAGCGAACGTTACGTATGGCAAAATTGCATCACAGTTCTTGTGATTACGGTCGACGTACATGGATAGCATGTCAGCGAGCGTCTTGTTTAATCTCTCCGTCAGACCGTTGGTTTGTGGATGGTATGCGGTTGTTTTGCGATGAGCTGTTCCACTAATTCTCGTGACGTCTTGCATCAATTGGGCTGTAAAGGGTGTTCTACGGTCAGCGATAAGAACTGTTGGCGCTCCATGGCGGAGGACGATGTTGTTTATGAAAAAAATACGCAATCTCATTGGCGGCGCCTCGTTGTAGGGCTTTTGTTTCGCAGTACCTTGTTAAATAGTCAGTAGCGACTGCGATGCAGCGGTTGCCATCATGTGACTTCGGGAAGGGCCCAAGCAAGTTCATGCTGATTCGTTCAAACGGTTGTGACGGGGGTGCAACAGGCTGTAATAAACCAGCAGGGCGCACAGGTGGGGCTTTACGGCGCTGGCAATGATTGCATGTTTTAACGTAATGCTTGACATCCTGGGTGAGCTTTGGCCAGTAGTAGCGAGTCCGAATCCGGGCAAGGGTGCGTGCGAATCCTAGGTGGCCGGAGGAAGGCTCGTCGTGGCAGGCAGATAAAATGTCAGCACGTAGCCCTGGTGGAACGACGAGGAGGTACTCAGTCGCATAAGGTTCGAAGTTCTTTTTGTAGACGATGTCGTTGCGGAGACAAAATGACCCTGAACGTGCA